TGCCAGTACACGGGCGATCATTTGTGGTTTTGGTGGCCCGGAAACGTTGCTGCAGCCTGCAGATGGTCCGAACGTAGACCTGGAAGTGATTGGCAACGGCTTGTGCAGTGTGGCCAGCTTCAAGTCTTCCTAGCGCCAGGTTCCTCTTAGCTGTCGTGAGTCGCGGCATACTGCTGACGTTGTTATGTGAATGTTTCAACCAGGTTTGCGGGTGCATTTTATAGGGCTGGTCCTTGTGAACAGCACGTGCAGTATGAGTTGCATGAAAAACATGGAGAACACCGTACCATCTCCGAGATCAGGTTGCGTTTTTGAGACCATTTCCTGGGTTCCATTCTGAGTTGGGGAAGGACTGTCTTTGCTTAGGTTGTGCGAAGAAAAATTCCAAACTGACGTTCTTTTGCTGCTTAGTATATTTGCAAATGTCTCAATCCCCACCTTCTTATCAACACATCTCTAACATGCAGCTCTCTGTCCTTACCATTGTAACCTTTGGCTCTCTGTCATCACATTTCTAAAATGTGTTGCTCTACATCTTTTCTTCTTACAGGACATCCAAACCCTTCCTTCTCCAGGGCAGCTCTCAGGGAGTCCCCAACTGTTTCATATTTAAAGATTTAGAGAGACATAAAAAAAACTCTCCACAAGGTTGTATGACAAAAAAGGATGATTTCAACTTTCCAATATTCAATTTTCCTTTTATTGTGACATTGTGCATTCATGTTTTTACGTTCAATCGAGCATGTTGTTTATACCAAGATTACAAGTGAGAGAGAGAGAGAGAAGGAATGTTATCCAAGAGCATATATTTATATCGTACAACAACAACTGACAACAACATTATTGGTAATAATTGTGACAATTGCATGTAGGGCTTTTGAACATATTCCTGGCAAATGTGGTCACAAAGAGAGAAAAAGGGAACGTCGCACACAGTCTTGTGTTCGTGAGGTTCACCGATTCGGAGGGTGAAGCGTATTTGTTTTGGCAGCTTTTGTGCCCCTGGTCGATCCAAGTTGCCAACGATGTAACGCCGGTGTTAACATTATGAACTGCCCTGCCCAGACTTGAACCAAATCGAACACATTTGGGATGAGCTGGAGGACGAATGCGACAGCAGATGAATAAACCACAGACAGTTCAAGAACGTTGACCAATGGCGACGAGTTCCTGTTGCGAAAGGTTCTCCCGTCCATGAAGAAACGGTGTGTCGTGGTCACGGCCGCCCCGCCTCGTTACTGATTTTTACTGTTCCAACAGTTCTATGATCGTAAAGTCCGTGCATTATTATTTTTAACAGTGTGAACGTCATGCACTAGAAGAAAAAGAAAAGAAAAAGTGATATAATTAACAGTTGTTATCTAATATCAACATATTACAAATCAATACAAATCGCTGGCAGTGCAAAGTAGAATACCAGTAGAGGTAAAATGGCAATATTATGTGGTGATTACAGCAAAAAGAGAGTGATGTAACATTCATATCACTTCATAGTGGTCAAGCTACCAAAATAGGCGTGGGCCGAGAATCCAGGGTGAACAGTGATCTTCACACAACTGCTGGTCTTCTTGTGACATTAGATGTAGTGTGAGATGCCAAAGGCGCGCCCTTTATTTATATGTAGTGTAACTGTTGACAATGAAGGTGTGACCTCATCAAAACTGTTGACAATGAAGGTGCGCCCTCATCAAAACTATTGACAATGAAGGTGTGCCCATTAACACTGTTGACAATGAAGGTGTGCCCTCATCAACACTGTACACAGTGAAGGTGTACCCTCATCAACACTGTTGACAATGAAGGTGCATCCTGATCAACACTGTTCACAGTGAAGGTGAGTTCTCATCAACACTGTACAAAGTAAAGGTGTGCCCTCATCAGCACTGTTGACAATGAAGGTGTGCCCTCATCAAAAATGTACCCGCATCCACAATGTACAAAGAAGGTGTGCCCTCATCAACACTGTTCACAGTGAAGGTGTGCCCTCATCAACACTGTTGACAATGAAGGTGTGCCCTCATCAACACTGTACAAAGTGAAGGTGTGCCCTCATCAACACTGTTGACAATGAAGGTGTGCCCTCATCAACACTGTACAAAGTGAAGGTGTGCCCTCATCAACACTGTTCACACACTGTTGACAGTGAAGGTGTGCCCTCATCAACACACAATGAAGGTGTACATCAACACTGTTGACAAGTGAAGGTGTGCCCTCATCAACACTGTTGACAGTGAAGGTGTGCCCTCATCAACACTGTTGACAGTGAAGGTGTGCCCTCATCAACACTGTTGACAGTGAAGGTGTGCCCTCATCAACACTGTTGACAGTGAAGGTGTGCCCTCATCAACAATGTTGACAGTAAAGGTGTGCCCTCATCAACAATGTTGACAGTAAAGGTGTGCCCTCATCAACACTGTTCACAGTCAAAGGTGTGCCCTCATCAACAATGTTGACAGTCATCAACAAGGTGTGCCCTCATCAACACTGTTCACAGTGAAGGTGTGCCCTCATCAACACTGTTGACAGTGAAGGTGTGCCCTCATCAACAATGTTGACAGTGAAGGTGTGCCCTCATCAACACTGTTGACAGTGAAGGTGTGCCCTCATCAACACTGTTCACAGTAAAGGTGTGCCCTCATCAACACTGTTGATAATGAATGTGTGCCCTCATCAACACTGTTGCCAATGAATGTGTGCCCTCATCAACACTGTTGACAGTGAAGGTGTGCCCTCATCAACACTGTTGACAGTAAAGGTGTGCCCTCATCAACACTGTTGACAGTGAAGGTGTGCCCTCATCAACACTGTTGACAGTGAAGGTGTGCCCTCATCAACACTGTTGACAGTGAAGGTGTGCCCTCATCAACACTGTTCACAGTGAAGGTGTGCCCTCATCAACAATGTTGACAGTGAAGGTGTGCCCTCATCAACACTGTTGACAGTGAAGGTGTGCCCTCATCAACAATGTTGACAGTGAAGGTGTGCCCTCATCAACAATGTTGACAGTGAAGGTGTGCCCTCATCAACAATGTTGACAGTGAAGGTGTGCCCTCATCAACACTGTTGACAGTGAAGGTGTGCCCTCATCAACAATGTTGACAGTGAAGGTGTGCCCTGATCAATACCGTTCACAGTAAAGGTGTGCCCTCATCAACACTGTTGACAAGTGAAGGTGTGCCCTGTGTTCACAGTGAAGGTGTGCCCTCATCAACACTGTTGACAATGAAGGTGTGCCCTCATCAAGGTGTGCACTGTTGACAGTGAAGGTGTGCCCTCATCAACAATCTGGACAGTGAAGGTGTGCCCTCATCGACAATGTTGACAATAAAGATGTGCCCTCATCAACACTGCTGACAGTGAAGTTGTGCCCTCATCAACACTGTTGACAGTGAAGGTGTGCCCTGATCAATACTGTTCACAGTAAAGGTGTGCCCTCATCAACACTGTTCACAGTGAAGGTGTGCCCTCATCAACACTGTTCACTATAAAGCTTACCATCACCAGCATAGTTCACAATACTAGCCCGCCCTCGTCTGCTCTGTTTAAAATAAAAATCTGCCCTAATCAAAACTGTTTACAAAACAAGTCTCCATTCTGCAATAAACATGATGAATAGTTAGAACTGGAATGTACAGTAATACACGTATATATCAGAATACATATACCTCAGTATTGATCGATGTAAATAAATTATATCTAGTAAATGTCCTTTACATTCAGCAAAACAGCAAGACACACATATAGTTCTGACCTGTTTTAAACCGAGAAAAAAAACCGGTCTCAACAATACGTGTGTTTTGCTAGAGCCACGTCCGTTTCAAGATCTGCGTGAGTGTCCTTATCTCCCACATTCATCTGATGTAAATACATACTGATCAAAGCGTTTAGAAAACCAACACCCGCACTCACGAACTTTCAGCTGTTTTCTACAGTTATAAAAAAGATGTATAAAGCTTTATTTCTTGCCCTTTAGTATCGGGTTATATCGTAAAATACCTTATGAAACATGTTTTTATTTGTTTCTTAATGCTACAACATTTCAGCTGTAGGACGAAAGTGCGGAAACAATCGAGTCTGAACCATATATGTATATGTTCTTCCAACGTACAATTGCCTGTCAAAGACTCCAGAAAATCTAGTGATGGAAACCATGGGTGTCGATGTACGTAATTAGGATTGGATGATACGCATCAGCCAAGTCAGCTCCCTATTTCGGCAAGCAGGATTGTTGTAAACGGATCTTAACGGGGGACACTGAGGTACAAGTCAATGTTTTAAGACTTTGGTCCGATTCTCGATATGAATCTGATGAGAGAAGCCAGTTCCCCATTTCCCCGTTGTATATTACAGGAATATGGTGTAAATCGGCGTGAAATATCCCCTGCTCATGCTTTCACTGTGTATATTAGACGCCTGTTGCCAGTGCTCGGTGAAATGTCGCCAAGGTTTCGTGTAGCGGGAGACCATATAGAAACAGTGTTATGTGAAATAGTGTTTGGCTGTATCTTTTACAAACTATCTGCACACACGTTGTTGTCACTGAGACTGACAAAGTACTATTGTAACACTGAAGTACGACAACAGACACTGCAACAATGAAATACAATCAGGGCAACAATTGGGACAATCACAGTAACAATAGGGACAATCGATTACTTTGAAACTGCTGACACAGCCACCGAGCGTCACGGTCAGTCCGGCAGATGATACAGGAATAGATGGCCGTATAGTACAAAGAAACACGCGGATTGATGCACACACAACGTAGCTGAGAAGTAAAAAACATTGGCTAGGTGTTATCAGTAAGCTTGACTCTGAAGTGTGGTATCTGTCAAGTGTTGACGCAGTCTCTAACAGGTTTCTCTCACACGCATTGATTGACTGACAAAACACGTTGTAGTTGTAGTGGGAGTTTGCTCAGCTAGCGATGCAAGTATCACCAGAAAAGGGGGTACCTGATAAAGGGATGCAGTGCTACTGTGAATCTATATATAGAGTGGGCGTCAGTTGTGCATGTGGGTGTTGGCATGGAATCCAAGTGATAATTTTAGGACAAATCTGGGAAGCAGTGTAATGTTAGTAGGTAATATAAATGACAGGAGATATTGATATGAGTGGTCCGTGGAGGGTTGAAGGCGGATGAACTTCACTACCCGCTTACCCCGCTTCAAGTGCATGCACTTTGGGCGTCCAATGAAAAAAGGACAATGTGACGTATGACGGCCGGCCGGGAACGTGGGTGTTGTGGACACTCACTCAGAGGCCTATCCCGGAGCCTTGGGCAAAGTGGGAATAAGTTTGAAAGTTGCAAGCACGTTAGGATTTGCGGTGAAGCGTGTCGTAATAACACCTACAAACTACCAGGATCTGATCATTTGACACGATGATCCTAAAGCAGATCCGGGAGTAGTACCTTTATATACCCTGGTCACAGCTGCAGAGGAATCTCAGACTTGAGATAGCAATGTCTGCGATGCACTTTCTCCACTACTGCCTGATAGTGTTGCTCTGCTCTCTCAGCGTCGCCCTGTGCTGGCCCTTCAAACATAGGACTGGACAGAAGAAACTCAGAATGTATGAAAGAGATCCTGACTTTATAGGCAGTACGACAAACCTTTTAGTGAAACTTCAGCCACATAATCCAAGTCGGAGAAAGCAAGGTATGTGAGACATTAATTTAAATTAAATTTGTCAATTTGTGTTAATGAAGGCTTCTACAAAGTTCTTTACTAAATCATTACACAACATCATGTCCCTAGTGTGAATAATTTGAACAAACACTTGTTCATCTCAAAATGTCGAAGCCGAAGAAAGACAGTCATATACTGACACGATGCATTAACTGCATTTCACTACCAAGCGATACATTGGACAAACACAACACGCAGTTGCCATACTGTATCAGTGGTAAGTCTCCGAGTACGCCTTTTATTATACAGTGCTTAAAACAGCATATCTTTGATAAGAAATTCAGACTGAACACGGGTAAAGTATTAAATTATGATATCTGTTGAACATTCCTTTCAACTGCGTGTGTTGACGTTATTACTCCATGTAGGGGACTTGTCCTCGTCCCACGAAGTGATAATAGCACTAGTAGGGTGTTTCTAAGCCGGTGTTTAAATATGGGAGTTACTGCCATTTAGAAAACGTTTATATTAAACCGAAGTATATTACATATCTCGTTGGCATTTGGGAAGTGTATTTGTTATTTAGAGTGAAGATATAATTTGATATTGTGTTGCTAAATGGTTTGATCCATCTATACATCCATCCATCTGTCCAATCCACCTGTCTACTCGTCCATCCAACTGCCCAACCCTCCCTCCAACAATGTGTCCGTCAGTTAATCCATCCTTAAATACATCAGCATAACGCAATCTCTCCATTCGTCTATCCATCTATCATAGACCCGTGAAGGTTCGGGTTAGAATTGATCTTCAGTAACCCATGCCTGTCGTGAGAGGCGACTAACGGGATCGGGGTGGTCAGGCTCGCTGACTGGGTTGACACATGCCATCGTATCCCAAGTGCGTAGATCGATGTTGATGCTGTTGATCACTGGATTATCTGGTCCAGACTCGATTCTTTACAGACCGTTGCCATATAGCTGGAATATTGCTGAGTGCGGCGTAAAACTAAAGTCACCCACTTCTCTTCGTGCACCTTTTAGTGATCACGCCAATCTCTTATCCATCAATTCTTCAATCCAGCTTCCGTCTATGTATCCGTCCATGTATCCGTCCAACCATGTATTCACCATTCATGCTGTTTACCCTATGTCACTATCTAACAATTTCCATTTACCATAATGCCGACACTTTGCAAGCCAGACAGATAGATGTACCTATTAGTGCAAGTGTAAGATAGCGGGAGTATACCTATTCCGGTAGCCATACGCCTTTGGACATACGCTAATGTATCTAATTATCTTTAGAAGAGAGGATCTATGGTGATACACTTCTATAAATACATCACATTAACTCAGAAATCAAACCATCAACAACAGAGAATAATAAGTCTGAGGGACGTAAAAGGCAAAGCGGTAATGGGAAATATATGAATGAAAATTAATGATGAAACACAGTGACGTCAGCGGGTGGATGCGAGTAAGCATGCCCTGCCCTACCAGCAGAACCAGTGACTTCGTGAAATGTGTTCACACTCATTCTTTGTGTTTCTCAACGTGGTGTTGCTGGAAACAGAACACAAGTCGATGGCCTATAGGTTCGTTAATGCAGCAAACGGGTAGTTTCGGCTAGGTTTTCTTTGTATGACGTTTAAGTCTGCACTCAACAATTCTAGCTACATAAAGCCGATCTGTAAGTTACCGATTTAGCTGAGATTCGAGTGATTGACATCATGAGCAACAATTTACGGTCATGGAATACGGTGACTTATAGCAACCATGTCACAGCAAAGACGGGTGGATCAACTCTGTAGATCAACTCTTGGCCACATCTTCACGAGGATACTATGGTTATTGTGTCACTGTGTTGCTATAGATAATGTATTTATGATGTTTCATCAGAAAACTGGATCAGTCCAACGGCCCTTCGATACATGTTTTTGACAGAACATCGTGTACATCGCGGGGTTTCCGGTAATAAATTTTGAATATTGGAATAAGTGTGAAGGTTTCGTCTGACTAAATATATATAAAGAAGCCATTGGTCTTCTGTACCGGTACTAGTGTTTTCATTGATGCATATGCTTGTAAACTGTAGGAGAACATCCTATTAGCTGTATTACATTAAGTTGAAATATAAAAAGAATAAATTAAAAAATATATAAGCCATTGAAGTCTGTCAACATTATAACCCTGGCCGCTTTTGTCACAGACTCCTCCTCCCCTTCATACAGCCACCCACCCTCCCCCCACCACCGTGGCAGCAAGCTCTAGCCTATCCCTAAAGCCCGGATAATGGCAAATGGTATCCATTTCCATCCAAGAACATAAACAGTCCCTTGAAGATAAAAATACAAAACAATAACCCAAGAGTATATGAATGACTGTGAAGTCTGCGACTAAATTTGTATTGCTTCCTTGGTAACCATATGCTAGGTTTCAAAATCGGTATGTCAGGCGTCATATAAAATGAAACATTTTATCTTGGTGTATGTACCATGATTAATTTACCGAATCTCTCTACTCCTACACAGAAGTAGCTGTAAAAATATAAGGTATAAATCACATACGAACGTCGAGCCAATATTTATTATAAATATATATCGTCAATCATAATCAACATCACAGCATGTTAGCTTATATGACGTGGGAGGCTGGCTCAACTGATGAAGGTAGTTGACCGTTTCTACGCGATGAGTGTGGTGCTGACAATCCAATAATCAAAGCACACTCGGTTTACGTTTAGGTCCATAAGGGAACGCGCACAATGGAGTCAATTCTTATAGAACTACTTCAAAAACTGTTTTTTTAGAATGAGCACAAAACACCTGTGGACATCAATGCGAAATCGGAGACATCGTTCAGTTTCATAGTTCAGCTTCTAGTATTATAGAATCAGGGAACAAAAAGGGAGTGACCTATATGGAAACATAAACACAAACATATTCGTTTAGTTAGCAAACCAAGTGCCTTGGAATCACGGGTTCAATCTGAAGGACAAGGCATGTTGTGTACAAACCCCTATCAAGTAGTGATGTTAAAAAATGAAAAGGGGAGGTGAAGCCAACTGGTGATACCCGTCACAAACACATGCAAAGGCAAGTAAATTGTTCAAACGAAAAACATGGGACATATGGTACAAGTGAGAATAGGTCTTTACGTCCGACATGATGGAGGGTTTTGTGGAGAGTTAAAACCTTATGCAAGATTGAACTGAAACAGATGAAGCAGTTCTACTGGTGTGTTGTATTCTTCTTATGGGCACAATGTGTGAAGCCCATTTCTGGTGTCCCCCGCCGTGATATTGCTGGAATATTGCTAAAAGCGGCGTAAAACTAAACTAAACACTCACTCACTGTATTCTAAGAAAATCAAGATTTATGGATGTCAACTTCTTTAATTGTGAATAACACAACGTTTCGGAGTGTATGGTTCACCTGATGAAGGAGCAAACTCCGAAGCGTTGTGTTTTTCACAATAAAGAAGTTGACATCCATAAATCTTGATTTTATTATACATTCCACTTCTAAATGCCCTTCAAAGATTCACTGTATTCCAGTTAAGTGGGGTAAAGGTGGAATTGAATAATTTATATATTAACTACCCTGAAATGGATTATTTCTGCTTATGTCAAATATTATTTGATGGATTCCCTCTGAACTTCTATCCATGAATTTCGGTTGACAGTCATGTGTTAGTGTTGACGTAAACGTGATCTGTCAACTAGCCATTTATAAGTATTTAAAGGGACTTCAGATCAATACGTTTCTTGTGACATGAGTGGGATGGCTGAAAGATAAAATAACGCCATTTTACGCTTACACATTTCCCAACGTTGGTGACATTTAGATGCAGAGAGATTAAGCTGCAATTTCGAATAAATGTAAATGCCTTGAGATATTGCCTTTCATCCAAGTGGGAGGTTTTTATTACATTCAGTGCTAATTTTCCCGCAGTAACACCACGTGGCTCTGTTATGGGAATCGTTTTTAAATACTGTAGTCACTCTACCATTAAAATCTCATCTACTTAAAGATAAGAATTATCATACGAGGTATCATCACTATTTGATAGTCATTCATAAACATATGCTGGTGATACAGTGCCAGTACGAGTGCCTTCAGAAGGTATTTCTTAATGGGTGTGGAAAGGGTTTTGTTGTTTTTATTTACCTACATCTGTACATCAGTTGTCTTCACGCAGGTTTGCCTCATTGCAGCAAACACGTATCGGTATCAACCTCTCTTATGTATTCTTGAGTAGGCCGTAAACATTAACAAGAAATGACAAATATCATATTCCCCTTAGTGGTGGGTTGTTAATGATTTTGGGAGATTAAAATGTCAACCTGAAATCGGTACAGGATATGATTCTGATTGGTCTATTTCTAAACCAGCACAGACACTTCCGGGAACACAGGCGGCGAAACATTGAAATGAAAATTTCAGCAAGCACCTTATTGTGAACAAACGCTTCTGTGTAATGTTTATGTGTTGCCGGATGGCGGTTATGTCTCCCAGGAGAAGCGCCTGGGAGCTCCGTTACATTAGAGTCTGGGATACCTCACTCACCCAGGGTCCGGGTAATACAATCAATTTACAACGCTATCAGGTCCTGTTCATGTGAAAGCTTTTGTGTCTGGGTAGGATTTGAAAATTTGTTTTTGGTGTGGATTACAGAGAACCATGTAGTCGTTATTCACTGTCCCTACTCAACCAGGAAGTAACATGTCAACCCATATGCATCCTCCGTACCTGTAGGCTACCAACCTTTGCTTATGATTGATTTGTCAGCAGGAATTGTTGTTGATGCGGATGTGTCTTATACTGGTCCCATGCATCATATCCATGAATACCTCACAACAGATAAGCCAAAAGGATTTTATAACATGTGTAATGTTTCGGTTAAATCCACTTTGAAGCTTCCTGATGGATTTTGCCTATCAATTCAGCCAATATACGCCCCTGCCTGAAATGCGGCACCAAACCCATCCAAACGCTTTAAAAATGCCGCGAGCCTTCCTTGAAATTTCTTTGCTTAGGACAACATAACCTCACCACCAGATTCAGTTTAGTGGACTTACAACAAACGTAGTTGTAACAGAAAGAATACTTTCAAAGAGGTCAACAGCGATGGTTGAGTCGTCTGAACAACATAAGCCATAAACAGACGTCTGTGCACAAGACATTTCAGCCGTACCATATAAGCCATATGAAGCCGCCTGTTCAACATAAGCGGGCTGTATTGTGTTGTCGACTCAAGCATAAACACACGGACTCTCGGAGCCGTATTGGTAATTAATCGATTTAGGGCTATCAATAAAGTAATATGGATAGACGTTATTTCCAGTAAGCGAACTATTTGGGGAAAGAATTCCAATTGCTCCAAATCAAACAATCTGAAGTGGAATGAAAGATTCAATTATGTATGAAAGCAAGTGGGCTATAATGCATGGTGACAACAATGCTACCCTTTTGTTACAAGCTTTCCTACTACCGTCACAACTTAAAGGCCGCGCATAAGAAAGTTATAATGAGACCGAGTTTTGTCTGCTGGCAATATATATCGCCGATCATTCACTCCGAGACAGAGTGGCCATAAAGGGATATATTGTTTTCGAATTTATCTTTTGTTAAAGGCCTTTGACATTTATTTGAATGCATGAGCACGTTTGTTTATAACCTCCTCCCACGTGCAAACATTTCCCCGAACAAACAATACTTTTGGCGGAAAGTTGGTTACTGGCGTTATTCCCACCACATACCATTCCTTCAATATAACGTGCCCGTGAATATTGTCAATGGTTATTTGACATTTTCCGTCCAGGACGCCGTGAGACCACACTGGGACTCAATGACGATCATATCTAGGTGATGTAAATATAGAAGGCTATAATGCGTATGGATCTAACATGACTGGCTTTAGAAATGAATTCGTATCAAATTACTATTCAGTTTCGGCCTATAAGACCTACAAGTCCCCAACGGCTGCCACGGCACCTGGGACAGCTCCAGAGTCGCACCAGACATCAGATATAGCACTGGCCAATGCACAGGAGGGTCTTGTTGCATTTCGATGAAGCGGTTGTCATATGAAACAATAAAAATAATCCCCCTTTAGTGCCCAATATTGGCTTTCCCCCTCATGTCAACTCTAAATATTGTGTGAACTGTTAATGTTATTTGCGTGATCATACCATGGATTTAAATGTACAAGTCTTTACCATGGATGCGTGAGTGCCAAAGGTTAGGGTTCTGTCCTTGAGCCGAGCCTGTACATACAATTTCAAATTTAAGACTACAGTTGAATAAACACCCCTTTCCTTGAAACATTCGCCGATAAGGTGACGACATTATATACAGGTAGATGGTGTAGTTGTTATGACTGACATGGGAAAACGAACAGTGGGAGAAAGTGACCAGAACAATTAAATTCAGAATGTTTAGCTGCAAACCCACACAAAAGCAGGCGAAGAACGTTAGAGGAAATGTGCCAAACCAGCATCCTTAACTGCCCACTTCTAGTGAAGCAGTTTAGAAAATGATAGAAAATACGTCATATTAGCGTCTTTAGCTTCCCACCTGCAGTGGGGTAGTTGAGGAAAAGTAGAAGAACTATGTCAAATGAGCGTCTTTAGTAGCTCAACTACCTTAAGGAAAGATTTTTTACAAATATGTGACATCAGCATCCTTAGCTGCAAACCTGCGCGAAAAGGTCAAACGAACCATTTACCGCACCACAAAACAACACCTAATTAACGCTACCATTGCCACACTTTACGAGGTATTTAGGAAAGTGGTACCCATGTAGCTGTTAAAAACGATCAATAAAATATTTGAAAAACAAATGCACAATTACGATGCCAGATGCGCGTGGGGTTCCGTTTGTCCCACTCACCCAGGTTCATTTACTTGATTGCATCGTATTCTAATTGGTCAGAGAGCTGGTTCTGATGCTGTTCATTGTCAGACCTGGACTCGACTATGTAAACACCGTCATCATATAGCTGGAATCTACATAGTAATATGTGCATATTATCACAGGCCAACCTCCCCGCTGTGCCATTGTATTCCATCTATGTAAAGCATAATCGTAAGGACGAAATTACACACAGTTATGTTAACTTTATCGATATAAACAAGTTGAAATCGCCCACTCTAATATCATTTTTCATATTTTCCAGGACCATTCAAACGCAATTACCATGATGTCTTCTCACAACCTCAAACACCTATACCAAGCCACTCTTCTTGTAAGTACCTCTGTTAAACCTATACACCAGTCAGAAGACTCTCTTGACAGCACGTTTGTTAATCCTATACACCAGTCAGAAGACTCTCTTGACAGCACGTTTGTTAATCCTATACACCAGTCAGAAGACTCTCTATTGACAGTACGTTTGTTAATCCTATACACCAGTCAGAAGACTCTCTTGACAGTACGTTTGTTAATCCTATACACCAGTCAGAAGACTCTCTTGACAGTAGGTTTGTTAATCCTATACACCAGTCAGAAGACTCTCTTGACAGCACGTTTGTTAATCCTATACACCAGTCAGAAGACTCTCTTGACAGCACGGTTTGTTAATCCTATACACCAGTCAGAAGACTCTCTTGACAGTACGTTTGTTAATCCTATACACCAGTCAGAAGACTCTCTTGACAGTACGTTTGTTAATCCTATACACCAGTCAGAAGACTCCCTTGACAGCACGTTTGTTAATCCTATACACCAGTCAGAAGACTCTCTTGACAGTACGTTTGTTAATCCTATACACCAGTCAGAAGACTCTCTTGACAGTACGTTTGTTAATCCTATACACCAGTCAGAAGACTCTCTTGTTAGTACTTCTGTTGGTTGTTTATAACTGTACCAAAACATTCATGTAAGTATTCCTTTTAGGAATCTAGATCCGTAGGAAGACTGTCTTGAAAGTCCTTCTGTTAATCTCATACACGTGAAAGGAGATCGATTCACGGATTGTGTAAGCAGTTGTGAGGGTATAGTGAGATGTGCATCGTCATCATTTTAATCATGGAAAGTTTTACAATAAGAATTTGAAACTATTTGAGCTCGAGAAAGGTCGTATGAATAGATAAAGTTTCATAAAGCCATTATTTCGGATTCATTTCCTTTTATCAAAGCAACGTCAGGTGAAATGTGGGGGTTGACATCTGGTGTTAATGTTTCTTTTCCAACTGCACACACTTACTTTGATGAATACTGAGAAATATATTAACTTATATGTAGTTATAAATTTTATTTTATATCGCATTGACTCATTTCATAACATAGATGAAATTGAGAGGATTAGATTTAAGGCCATTTTGAACAGAAAATTTAAAGGTATCAGGACTGAATGTTGAAGGGGAACCCAAGGTCACGCAGTTCGAAACGTTAACCATTTAATGCGTTCGTAAACAATGTTGATCAAATTCTTGAATTTAGCCCCATTCCGAAAACCGCTGCTAATGAAAATGAACAACGTGTTTGTTTGACGTGTTTGCCGGGTTCGACTCCTGACATAGATATAACCCATTTGTATCTGTTGTGATATTGTTGGATTACTGCTAGAAGCAGCGTGAGACCCGACTCACTCTCTAAGTGATTATAGGAAACAGATTCCAAGTTCACTGGAGAATTAATCAAATTCATTGAGACATAGAAAATGAACGTGGGTGATGGTGGGGGTGAGCTGGAAGGAGGATATGTCCCACCCATCTGATCAAGCCTTCATGAAGTTTACAGAAAAGATGAAGTAATACTGACGATGGATATTACAAACACGCTGTGACGGCTCTGACTCTTTCTCACTAAGGCTCAAGCTTTTCAAAACATATAAAAGTAAGAACGCCCGGTGTCATGATAGGATTCCCTTCCTACTTGTCAGTCTTTGCCGCCGTTATCCCATAATATCGGCTGTCAGCACCATACCTGTGTCCAAATGCTACTTTCGGCGTTCTCCCTACATAACGCTGACATCTAATGATGTAACTGAAACCCTCATCGAGCCACATTTAAACATCTTTTACTTACTCTAAGCATTGTAGGTATGTGTGTGATAAAATCCAACGAGCACTACTCTAAACAGACACACACTGGGGTAGCCTTTTGGTTAAAGTGTTCGCTCGTCTCGCCGAAGACCCGGGTTCGATTTCCCACATGAGTACAATGTGTGAAGCCCACTTCTGGTGTCCCCCGCAGTGGTATTGCTGGAATATTGCTAAAAGGGCGTAAAACCAAACTCACTCACTCACTCACTCACTTAATAGACACATCGTCACCATAAGGCACATGTGATGCTAACGTCTATCTCTTCAAAGTAACCCATTTAGGAGGGGTATGAAGGCGAGAAACCAATACTAATATGATCAATATGGGATTCGAACAAAGTACGGTAATATTCTGCACGCGTTAGGTACTCCTCATTGAACTTTGCGAAATGTTAACAGTCATCCGTTTGTGGCTTAGATCAATGATTCCCTTTATTAGTAAATATAAACGCTATGAAATATATACGGTAAAAGTATGGATCATGTGTCTTCGCCTACATGAACAACGTTGTTATGCCAACAGGATGACAATGAAAAGGCGTAAACAACTGAAAGTTTTAAATGACATGAAACATGGCTTAGGTTAAATTATCTCAAATAATGGAAAACATATTGATATTTGAATCTATCAACGTGAATACCCGGGGTCAGGTATTGCCATAGTAGCTCACACAAGTCAGAAAGCTTACATGCATACGTCATCAGTGTTACAGCACATCCCATATATGGCCAGTATGTTAACTGAGAAAAATCATTTGGCTGGAGCACATGTCTATTCTACTTTTGTACTGGATTCTAAGCTCCATATAAAGAGAGACATTTTGTTTGGTCATGTAAACGTACCACCAAAGACTCTTGGTTACAACGTTCAAAGTAGAGTAAAGCTTTCAAAAAGCTTTGCAGTAGACATGTAGAACACACTTCCAAATTTGACGAATCAGTGACGTTCTATTTTGAATGGTATCAAATATGCCGGTGTTTTCTGTTTAGATGAACAGTAACCTTACCTTTGCACACATTTGTGATGGGTGCCACCTAGTCTGTCTCACAGTCCCTAAACCACATTAATTTCCACACTGCCTGTCCCTCTCTGCTATGTTAAAGCCCTGAATGATGCAAGTCTAAACTTTCTCAGGTTCTGAATCTCTGGTCTCCCTGGAACTCCTTTTCAATTTAAATGGGTTTGTTTGCTACCATCAAAATTATATATATTCAGAGACTAAGCGTTAGTCTAGGTGCCACCTGTTGTTGACGATATGCTCACCTTTTCGCGAACACTTGGTATTATCGAAATTTCGTAATGATTCATAAACACATACCCATGATACAGTCGGAATCGAACAATGGTGTCTGCGGTTAACAGAGATTCTTGGTGATTATTAAAAAGGTTTTGTCGCTTTCATTTGAATGCTATTTAACCAAATAATCTACAACGTTTGTTTTATCAGAACTAGATTCCCATTATCCGAAATAAGTATCAACCATTACACATACGTACGCATATTTTCATCATGAAATCTAGCAACACATTTTAGTAACAGAAAGTAACAACGTGTACGAACGCACCAATAAAACTCCAACACACTGATGATGATCAAAACGTGGAGAAAATAAATTGTTGTTGAAGTAACACAGTTAAGTATTGTACAAACACACACTGTGTAGACAAACAGTCTTGTACTTTTACATCAGTTACAGACCGGATGCAGCCACTTCAGTCGTTATGCGGAATGCGTGTCCTCACATTCAGATGCATTTTTTGGCTGCTATGTCATTGAAATCCGACTCGCACGTCTTTGGCATGAACATTTGAATAAACATTCCTCCATTGTCCTATTGATTTTATTATTTTCTCTTTGACAGAATGTTAGCATTGAGAAATGCATGCTATTGACAGACATTATTCGCCACCCCCGCATCGTGAAGGCTTTGGTGAATGGAAATTGCCTTTTCTTTTCAGGACAATTATCTCATTGTAGATTACCTCTCCAATGAATGGGAATGGTTTGTTCAACTAAATGGATATACACTGCCTCAGATTGCCGCGTATTGACATTACAAACACGACGTTGGACCCTCTCCATGCACTGTCCTTAGGTATCATATTGTATCATATTGGCGCCCTGTGAATGTGGCCATCCAGAGAATGAAATTAATTTCTGAAAATATTCGAAAGGCTTCTATGTCTAGTCCAGTGTGTTGCGTCAATAGACACACTCTTTGTCTTTAAACGGTTTTTGTAATGGGATGTAACTTAGGATTCAACGAAGCTTTTAACAGTCTTTCCCTTGAATAGCGTGTCAACACGAAGGTGGCTAAGGTCATAGACGTTCTTAAACACCAAGGATTATGATGTGGACAAATTGGGATTCGAATCAATGGCCATCAGACCCTAGCAGCAAATTGGAGCAGCTCTTCATTACGGTTTACGGTACTTCAACCAGTAGGTTCCTTTATGACCTTTATCTGTTCCGTATGAAGAACGGTATACTTACTATACTACCCATCACAAGTTTAGACTCACTAAAGTACTGTCGGAAATGCTAGAAAAATGCTTTTTGACTTATATTTAAAATTCAGAGGTATTACAGTTACTTAAATAACAAATATCACTTCAAGAAACATCTACCTAATGTAGACCGAGGGAATAATTTTTGAGACATGCTCTAAAATGTGTTTTTACTGATGAAAATACCAAAAACTTAGAACAATAAGGGGTAGTGGGACGTTATTTGATACAAACATTAATTGCCTGGGTTACGTCATCAATATCCACGGTATCGCCAGGTGAAATTGACACCTGAGCACACGCTCGGGCGAGGGGTCATCTCAATAGATGTTTTCTGCAAAATGTTGAATATGTGTACGTATAGTATACGTATTGGTTATGTAAGGGAGCATTTGTGTATGTGTGTTTGTTTTGAAATAAACATACGAATTACTGTACATTGGAAAGAATCCTATCACTTGTGTTATCTTATCGATTGATTGTAGAAATGTGCAACGTTTTAATAAATGTTTTGCATGTCAACAGTATATTTCATTGAAAGAATATGGATGTAATTCGTTCAGTTTAATCTAGTTGTGAACATTGGCCAAAGATTTAACGAAGTCACTGGTGTAGCTTCTTTAGAATATATATATTCTTCTTCTCATAAAGTTTGTAGACCGCCCGTCTAAGCACTCCCTTGTCAAAGTTGTCAAAGATGGTTTTACGTCCCGGTTGTGCTTTTGAGACGGTCCCTGTCTTGTCTGATTTGTTTACAATTTTGTAAACTTGTTGGTAAGACATACCAACAGCTCTACAAGTTCTGTAATAAACCCTTTCTAAACTAATGAAAGGTTTACCTCTGTCTTTTTCAAGCAGAAAAAACTTATAAACCTTTGCAACAATCGTTGGCCATAGTGGACGCTGTGATAAAGATGTGCATGCATGACGGGAAACTTATTTATCAAGACTTAACATTTATATTAATATTACTTCAATAAAGAAACGATAATTAAGTAACGTAACACAAACATTCAACATTTATTTTTGTTTAGGAAAAACGTTAATTCATATTTTTACACCACCTGTATTATTAGCATAAATGTAAAGACTATTTCAGATTTCTGTTGTTGAACTCAGAAAAAATCTTAAGTTGCTGTTTTGGTACAAAATTCTCTCCTGTAAACTGCCCTTTAAATGCAAGGGAATGTTAAATCGATTGAAATAAAAATTAGGTACACTATTGGCGAGTTGATATATTGACAACATAGTACATTTATCACCTTTATAAAGATATTAAGGCTAAAAAGCATTTTTCTAGCATTTCCGACAGTACTTTAGTGTAAATGTAGCCACTTACTTCAGTCAACTGGTCTAAAGTAGATTTTGCAAAATATTCCATACTGTTTAAAGGTACTGTTTACACACGAACTGATGTATTGTAAAACAAATTGGTAACGTTGGAAAGATTATTGTCATGAGTTCAATAAATAATGAAACTCGGTGAAAATTGGCGAATTCTTAACAAAACTTTACACCAAAATGCAGCTGTTCACATGCACGATATGTGCACATGCTTTTCAGCAATTTGATGCATGATCCACATGCAATTCATCTGCATAAGGTTTGCAGTTGGTTCCCCCAAGTTAGGGGAGAAATTCATCTTCGAGTTAACCACATAAATGTACATAACATATAGTGAATGCTTTAAGTGAGTCTATACTTTTGATTGGTAGTATATGAAGAAGGACGTCATGCGTTTGATCATTTTTTGATTATCAAGTGATGACATGAGTGAACGAGCTTGGGGTAATGCTCTTTCGAACAAACTCTTGGGTGTGTCACCAAACTGTTGAGCTTCAAACACAGCATTGGATTTAATACCACAGCAAGATGGTTTGGTGAAGTGAAAAGGGGTTAAACACATTTTTCCACACACATAGCGACCTGCATTCGTCAAGTGCTTTGTACCATTCCAGATTTTGTACCCTTTTGTAGGTCACTAAGCCGGAATATTCTCAACAAGGACATCCCCCTTAAAGACATTATTCTGGATCGGCCCTTGTTTTATCCCCCCTAATGACAAACGCCAGTCAGGATAACAACATGTATCATCTTATCATCTAGAACCGCGACCTTCCGCCCTCCTGGCCAATGCTCTATCCGCTTCACCACGGTCCAAAGAGGGCGATATATCGTTTAACGTACACATCATCGCACGCCTCTGATAATTACTTTGGCGAGCGTGATAAACAAAACAACAAAAACCCAAACAATTACATTCCACAATCATAAGTAGTCATAAGAATAGTCAAGATAGCAAGTGTTCGCGAAAAGGGTGGCACCCTTCACAAATATCCCAAGGCAAGGCAATTTTCGTGTATAAAAACCCGCGAACTTATTGTCAATAAAGTGAATTCGGTTAAAAAATTCAATTCCATAATCCAAACGTAGAAAAAATATCGGAGTGGGCGTTCCCTGTAGTAGCTGTTATGTGACCCTCCACGTGCCGAGAAGTACACGCCATAAATATCATGTTATCATAGTAACACGATATAGCGGATAGGGTATCAGGAAGTAGATGGTGTCATTAAAAAAGATTTCCTACAGAAAAAGTATTTTACATGGATTCACATAAAAGCAATTCCTGCAAAACAACCGTGATCAATAAAATTGTTTGTCTGATTTTGTTGCAAGTCATTTTCCGTTGTGTGTGTTCCTATTTGATACACACAAGAATCTGACTTGGTAACATAGGTTCATGTGTATATTGTACCTACGTCATCATTATTTTTATCAAAAAAGTGGATAGTGAAGTCATATAGTTGGTACTTGCATCGATCAGATACAAATAGTGATAGCTCTATACGGAGACGCGAAACCTACTCGCTAAAACATATTACAGATTTCTAGCTTATCAACAAACACGGCTACAAAGTATTAGGCTTTTCAAAGACACGTTTTCTTCCGAAATGTCTTCTATTAGCCAGAGTGTTTTTAAAATCTGTTTCCCCCCCCCTCTCGCCTACTGCTATTACTTTAATGTATGCCAGCTGAGAACTGACCACCCTCCTTTCCCACTAAAACTTTACATGATAATATATATATAGATATATGTTCATCGTGTGACAAGATACCAATAACCCTTTTGCTCTTAACGTGCCATTCATTCAGGCGCTGTAAACATACGCGATTACTTAGGTTTCATGAAAAATAAAACCCTGATTCAATTAACTTAAGAATCTGTGTGTATCATTATGTCAAATATATATATTGTATATATAACTACAACTATACAGTTGTCCGTTAAATGTTTCCATACATGGAAGTGTTTATGATGGAACCGCTTAAGGCGCTTTCTACATGGTGTAGATTTCAAACCTTGACACATGTGATGCCACGTATTTTGAAACCATTCCTTCGACAATAGATTCTAGAAAGTCTATGCTTAATGAATATCAATGTTTATAAACATATGGAGCATACCATGAACATACGTTACACCCATTATACCCGCGCCTATGTTCTGATATTTAAAATACCACACACATACAAATGCGCGCACACGCACACACACACACACACACACACACACACACACACACACACACACACACACACACACACACACACACACACACACACACACACACACACACACACACACACACACACACACACACACACACACACACACACACACACACACACACAGACAGAGACAGAGACGAGTTGTACCAATGTATTTCATTGTTTATTTACTGTTTCAGGTCACCACACCTCGTCTTACACATCCATGTTCGACAACACAGGACCTATAGAAGTATTTCGACCTAGAAAGTCTCGTGAGTATCTTGGACTTGGTCACACACCCACTAATCTCTCTCTGTCACACGTTGTCTCACGACCATGTAGTGCTTCGTCATCCTGTAACACCCACTGGCCTCTCTCTGTTACACGTTGTCCCACGACAATGTAGTGCTCCGTCATTAAGTAACACGCACTGGTCTCTCTCTGTCACACGTTGTCTAACGACCATGTAGTGCTCCGTCATCATGTAACACCCATGTCTCACTACCACGTAGTGCTCCGTCATCCTATAACACCCACTGGTCTCTCTCTGTTACACGTTGTCTCACTACCACGTAGTGCTCCGTCATCCTATGTCACTACCACGTAGTGCTCCGTCATCCTATAACACCCACTGGTCTCTCTCTGTCACACGTTGTCTCACTACCATGTAGTGCTCCGTCATCCTATAACACCCACTGGTCTCTCTCTGTTACACGTTGTCTCACTACCACGTAGTGCTCCGTCATCCTATGTCCACTGGTGTCTCTCTCACGTCATCCTATATACACCCACTGGTCTCTCTCTGTCACGTTGTCTCACCCACGTTGTCCGTCATCCTATCACAAGTTGTCATCACTGGTCTCTCTCTGTCACGTTGACCACGTAGTGCTACCATCCACTGGTGTCTCTCTGTCACACGTCACACGTTGTCCAGTGCTCCGTCTGTCACACGTTGTCTATTATCTGTCATACGTTGTCTCACTACCACGTAGTAATCCGTCATCCTAACACCCACTGGTCTCTGTCACACGTTGTCTCCACTACCATGTACACCCACTGGTCTCTCTCTGTCACACGTAGTGCTGTCATCCTATAACACCCACTGGTCTCTCTCTGTCACACGTTGTCTCACTACCATGTAGTGCTCCGTGGTCTCTCTCTCCGTCATCCTATAACACCCACTGGTCTCTCTCTGTCACACTGTCACTACCACTGGTCTCTCTGTAGTGCTCCGTCATCCTATAACACCCACTGGTCTCTCTCTGTCTGTCTCACTCACTACGTAGTGTTCCGTCATCCACTAATGGTGTACTGGTCCCTGGTCTCTGTCACGCGTTGTCTCACTACCACGTGAGTACGTCATCCTAACACCCACTGGTCCTCTCTCTGTCACTGTCACGACCATGTAGTGCTCCGTCCACTGTCACACACCGTTGGTACCATGTAGTGCTTCCGTCATCCTACAACACCCATGTAACACGCCCACAGTGGTGCTCCGTCATCTAGTGCTCTGTGTAACACCCACTGGTGTCTCTCTCTGTCACACGTTGTCTCACTACCATGTAGTGCTCCGTCATCCTATAACACCCACTGGTCTCTCTCTGTCACACGTAGTGTCTCATCCTACCACTGGTCTCTCTCTCGTCACCACCATGTTGTCTCACTACCACGTAGTACACGTTGCTCCGTCATCCTATAACACCCACTGGTCTCTCTCTGTCACACGTTGTCTCACTACCATGTAGTGCTCCGTCATCCTATAACACCCACTGGTCTCTCTCTGTCACACGTTGTCTCACTACCACGTAGTGCTCCGTCATCCTATAACACCCACTGGTCTCTCTCTGTCACACGTTGTCTCACACCATGTAGTGCTCCGTCATCCTATAACACCCACTGGTCTCTCTCTGTCACACGTTGTCTCACTACCATGTAGTGCTCCGTCATCCTATAACACCCACTGGTCTCTCTCTGTCACACGTTGTCTCACTACCATGTAGTGCTCCGTCATCCTATAACACCCACTGGTCTCTCTCTGTCACACGTTGTCAGTGCTCCGTCATCCTGTCATTTAACACCCACGTTGTCTCACTGTAGTGCTCCGTCATCCTATAACACCCACTGGTCTCTCTCTGTCACACGTTGTCTCACTACCATGTAGTGCTCCGTCATCCTATAACACCCACTGGTCTCTCTCTGTCACACGTTGTCTCACTACCATGTAGTGTTGTCATCCTATAACACCCACTGGTCTCTCTCTGTCCATGTTGTACGTGCTCCGTCATCCTATAACACCCACTGGTCTCTCTGTCACACGTTGTCTCACTACCACATGTAGTGCTCCGTCATCCTATAACACCCACTGGCTCTCTCTGTCACACGTTGTCTCACTACCATGTAGTGCTCCTGTCACTGGCCTCTCTGTCAGGCACGTTGTCTCACTACCACGTAGTAAACCCACTGGTCTCTCTCTGTCTCGTTGTCACACGTTGTCTCACTACCACGTAGTGCTCCGTCATCCTCTCTCTCTGTCAGCACGTTGTCTCATAACACCACTGTAGTGCTCTTCATCCTATAACACCCACTGGCCTCTCTTGTCACACGTTGTCTCACTACCATGTAGTGCTCCGTCATCCTATAACACCCACTGGCTCTCTCTCTCTCACTACCACGTTGTCCCGTCATCCTAACACCCACTCATGTAGTGTGCTCCGTCATCTGTTACACGAACGCACAATGTAGTGCTCCTCTCTGTAACACGCACTGGTCTCTCTCTGTCACATGTTGTCTAACGACCATGTAGTGCTCCGTCATCGTAACACCCACACACGTTGTCTCACTACCACGTAGTGCTCCGTCATCCTATAACACCCACTGGTCTCTCTCTGTCACACGTTGTACCATGTAGTGCTCCGTCATCCTATAACACCCAACACGTTGTCTCACTACATGTAGTGGTCATCCTATAACACCCACTCTCTGTCACACGTTGTCACGTCATCCTATAACACCCACCACGTAGTGCTCCGTCATCCTATAACACCCACTGGCTCGACCACGAACTCCCATCGAGTGTCTCTCTGTCACGCGTTGTCTCACTACCACGTAGTGCTCCGTCACTAACACCCAGTCTCTCTCTCGTTGTCACACACGACCACTGGTGTAGTGCTCCGTCATCCTATAACACCTCTGGCCTCTATAACACCCTCACACGTTGTCTCACTACCATGCAGTGCTCCGTCATCCTATAACACCCACTGGTCTGTCGTTGTCTCACTACCATGTAGTGCTCCGTCATCATATAACACCCACTGGTCTCTCTCTGTCACACGTTGTCTCACTACCATGTAGTGCTCCGTCATCCTATAACATCCACTGGTGTCTCTCTGTCACACGTTGTCTCACTACCACGTAGTGCTCCGTCATCCTATAACACCCACTGGTCTCTCTCTGTCACACGTTGTCTCACGACCACGTAGTGCTTCGTGATCATGTAACACGCACTGGCCTCTCTCTGCCACGCGCTATATAGCATTCGTTCACCTGACTGGTGCACAACGCGAACCTCTAGTAAGCAACATATCTGGATATTATTTGGAAACGTCTATTTTTGTTACAGCATGCGAGCAAGAGGATGGTACGAAGTTAATACAATGCAAATCCAACAAGTCCCAGTGTATTCATGAATACATGATCTGTGACGACCACAAGAACTGCGACGGTGGAGAGGATGAAGACCCGGGATCGTGCTTGCTGAGGGTCTGGGTATGTTATTTGTTTCAAGTTTTGCTGTTAAACATCTAATATCACTTCCTGGAAATCTTGATAGGCCAGATTTATGTAACGCTTCACTGTGAAACATTTCCCTTGCTTGGTATCAAGGTATATTGGACATGTTAATGAATTACCGCCAATCTACCTCTTCCTTAGCTCTGAATATGGACAGGATAGACGTTTATAGTTTTTTACTGCTTCCTTCATTTTTCGTGTGAAACTGGGTTACCCCGCTAGTGTTAAGAATAATCTATCGATTGAGTTGAATACAAATAGTGTTTATATGTAGGACAGAACTATCACGTTAACCGCTGTAACGAAAATTAGTGAAAGTAAAGTATGGATGAACACATGTCCCCTATGTTGATGTCTTTCTGTTTCCTTCAGATTCTCAAATGGATGAAGAGGATTGAAAAGTCTATAAAACAATAATAGCGATTCCTATTGCTACACAATGCTCTCCTCACTAACCCATACCCTCCAAGGCTTCGACATGGGTTGATTAAATATGCATATTTTATTTGCTGACGTTTTTAACTATATGCAACCTTCTGCTCAGTGAACTCCAAAACCAGTGAGCCAAGTCTTCTGTGTGAGACTCAGTCAAGACATATCACTATAGCTTTCCCGTGAGGATCGCCTGAAAATGTTGGAAGATACAGCAGCTCGAAGCCCACGTGTCGTCATGCATTGCTTTGGACGCATCAATGACGGGGACGTCAACAACTTGAGCAGTGACGGAACGACAGCAACATCAAGTAGCAGCTGCAGCAGTGAGCAACAGTCGAAGCGATGGCGCAAATACGATAATCAAGACTTCGGCCTTTTGAACGCTTCTCCAATGTGCATTCTGTTTTCGAAAAAGCGTTCATTCCAATGTCGTATTGTGTCATGCATCATTTCAGTGACTTGACTTGACACTTTACATATCAATGAGCAAGATATCTGATGATGTAAACACGCATTCCTGTGCTATTTACAAAGGGTTAGGAACATTACGGCAAGTGTTGTGTTCGCCCTTGCATAGGGATGCACAACATTAGGTGGTATAGTTGTTACTACGGTACACAACACACGCCGTTACCTGTAACGATGAAGCTATGAAATAGTGTTCCAAGTAGCCAGCCGACCAATGGAATCTCAAGGGGTTCACATCCGTCACACGGTGTATCCAGGTGTATCTACCAAAGTATTCTTTTTACCTTTATATTTATATTGCATCGTCATGCATAATGCATCGTAATCTATTGTGGTACCGAAAGTAAACTATCGAGTCGTGAAATTGCTGTAACGATTTAGTTACCATGTAACCTATGTACAGTGAAAGATCATTTAGTATGGATGATGTACAATGTACCTCTGGAAAATATTGTTTGATCGGCATTCTAGAAGTTGGTGAGTCAACAAAATCTGGAAAATATGTTTAATAAAAGCGAAAAACATTGTCATAGCCACAAGAAATATCTGCTGGAAGCAGACTCGAATATATTATACAGACTGTTATCGTATTGTGTATTCATTTTCTGACGAAAACATTTATTTTGGTTTTCAAAGTGACATCCTCATCAGAGTCAATCGATTTATGTAATGACATATTTTATTTGACAACAGTTATGTGAATTCCATTTAAACTATGAAATAGTGTTCCCAGACGAATCAGGAGGTACCTGCAGTGTCATGTGTGTCTATCAAGTGTTATTGGTATTAAAGAAAAACACCGTCTAGACATTTAAAAAACACATCATGACAACATGCTAAAACAAACTTAACTTTAATCCATGTGTAATTACAGTATTTAACAAAGAAGAAAAGAAAATACGTAAATATGTATTTTACATTTCCTAGTACATGTGTTGCATTGGATGTACAACACATCTACAATGTGGCGAAGGTACAACGTGTACAGCTACCCGCTTGTCGCCGTCAAGGCCTCATATACTAATTCGTGTTGTAAAAGTTATTGTGTGGTGTTCGCCGGATTATTCATCATAATAATGCAATCTTTGCTTGTTTTTTCGGATCTTATTTGAACAAACTGTGCAATATATTGTTATTAGCCTATAGTGTTTGAAATGTTTTCAACATGTTTCAAGAAGTTATTAATACGAGATTATTTAAGATTATTTTGTTTAGACTTTGTTCTGAATAAAGTTATTTTGATTACTAAGCAATGTTTTATGGTCTCGATTTTCAATGAGTGAGTAAGTGAATTGGGTTTGCTGCAGCTTTGTTTACAGTTAGATTATGGCGTGTCAGCGTCATATGGGAGGAAATCCGGAAGTAATGTAGGTCTTTCCACATCGGCGGAACCCACGGCCACTGCCACGGTGCCGATAAACCTGGAAACATTATCGGGGCACAGCAAAGTGTGGAGCTTTAGACCTCTCGGCCAACCGTGCCCCTTCCAATGATTTCTTAAGAGTTATTGACATGTTCCCGAGTAATCTCTTAACACACACACACACACGGCATGTCAGTTGTCATCGCCTCGTACAGCCTCCTACAGTAAACTACTCCGTTGCACCTCGTTTCTTGGTTTCCAGTTGCTTCATTCGGCTAACATCACTGGTGGAAACATTGCGTTTATGTTTTTCGACGGATATAATGTCTCAGTTCGACTCACAATTAAACAGCAACACGGCAACGTTCGCAATGTTTACATTCCCACAATGCATTTAAGTTGCAGAATGAATGAATTCACGTGTTTGTTATGAATGAAAAAATAGTTACGTCAGAATGTGACCTAATTGAGAGGTCATCGGTTATCCAATCAAATCGTTAGAATCTCAGGTCAAGTCGTTACGACACAGGTCAACGCGATACGACACTCGTGTGACGTACGAGATTAGTATGCAACTACCCATACGTTGACCACGTGGGTAATAAAACAGAGTATCATCTCAGTCCTGATGCTCAGTCCAGCTTTTCCATACTTTTACAGCTGCCTCGAGGTCCATCTCAGTTTGTGTAATATTATCATTCGACATACTATCAACATCACTGTCACAGTTGTCATCAGATCGTGAGTAATATGTCCAATATTAACATATTCAATAAGTTCACTTTCTATACTGACATCATTAATGTTATATACGACCTTGAAATAATCTGTCCACTGCAAGTTATAGTTAAAATGTGGCCGCGAGGATTTGTGTATGTATGCATGTGCGTGCGTGTGTGTGTGTGCGTGAGTGCTTGTGTGGATGAGAGAGAGTGTGCGTGCATGCGTGCGCGCGTGTGTGTGTGTGCTAGTACTAGTAAGGACTATGGCTTGTTGTGTAATGCTAGCCAATTAGATACCTTGCCGCAATTTAAAATGGATCCCCGACTCAGTGTACCGACTACGACCCTGCCAGTCACTACCATTATCCCCCTAAAGTTCAGCGTCAGACAGGGTGTCATCACCTTTCAACATCTTCAATTTAATGAGAAATAGGGCTGAACCTGACGAGCAAAAAGATTCAGGGTGACAACAAACTCTCTACAGGGCGGTCAACTCCAAAAGTCAACTTCCCCATCTTCTCGAGCAATATTCCAACATATTCAGTCATTTGTGTTTACAGTCCATAACTTTTGAGGTACAATCCAGCATCTTCTTTTACCAAGACATACGACTCATGCTCAGGGGTTTTTCAATCCAGGTTACAACATTCAGGCCTCAGTAAAGCTTTCAAACGTTTTATGGTAGACATTTACAAGATATTTCCATATTTGATACTTCAGTTACAAAAATGATATCTGATGCAGTTTCCTATGTTGACTCATACATTCCAGATCTTATTCAGGTGAACAATTGACTACCCTTTGCATATATGTTTATGGCAATTGACACTGGTGAGTCAGGATAACTTGACCCTAACACCTGGCATCATCCCTATTGTTTAGTGATTCATAAACACATGTACTGTAGTATCTCATTATGTCAATCACTGCATTGTCTGGTCCATAAAATAAAGCATGTAATAGTGGTGCCCGAGGCGTTAAACAAATAATTATAATTAAAAAACAAACAAAAACAAAAACAAAACAAACAAAAACGTACAACGATCGAACAAACGAATGCTCTAAAAATAGTCGGCATTGTACAATCGACTCTGCTCTCAGCAACGCATTCTCATGGATGTGAAAGCCTTTTGTCACTTTGTCTTGCTTTTACCATATGCAAATGCCTTTAGCAACGAATTCTTATGGATGCGAAAGCCTTTTGTCGCTTTGTCCCTCTTTTACCATATGCTGCTAGCAACGAATTCATGGCAACCATATGCAAATTCGAATTCTTATGGATGTGAAAGCCTTTTGTCACTTTGTCTTGCTTTTACCATATGCAAATGCCTTTAGCAACGAATTCTTATGGATGCGAAAGCCTTTTGTCGCTTTGTCCCTCTTTTACCATATGCAAATGCCTTTAGCAACGAATTCTTATGGATGTGAAAGCCTTTTGTCGCTTTGTTTTGCTTTTACCATATGCAAATGCCTTTAGCAACGAATTCTTATGGATGTGAAAGCCTTTTGTCGCTTTGTCTTGCTTTTACCATATGCAAATGCCTTTAGCAACGAATTCTTATGGATGTGAAAGCCTTTTGTCGCTTTGTCCCTCTTTTACCATATGCAAATGCCTTTAGCAACGAATTCTTATGGATGTGAAAGCCTTTTGTCGCTTTGTCCTGCTTTTACCATATGCAAATGCCTTTAGCAACGAATTCTTATGGATGTGAAAGCCTTTTGTCGCATTGTCTTGCTTTTACCATATGCAAATGCCTTTAGCAACGAATTCTTATGGATGTGAAAGCCTTTTGTCGCTTTGTTCTGCTTTTACCATATGTAAATGCTTTTAGCAACGATTCTTATGGATGTGGAAGGCTTTAGTCACGTGTTCCTGCTTTTACCATATGTAACATAAAACGCACATTCCAGAGAATAAACGGTGACTTCTCATTAAAATCCAACAAAGCAAATACCATTATATAGCTGCGAATATAATATGACCGGATCATTGAAATCAGTGATGACATTAAGCTTTGCAACTAGAGATTCCGATAACATGAAGACACACATGGACATTAAGTTGACTGCATGTCTCCAGGCTTGGTACAGGTGGCAGTGTATCATATCAATAAATCTTTCAACGTTTCCAAGCACATTTTCCCGTGGTTTAAAGTTGACGCACGTGGAATGAAAGCAACAAAATATCAAGAATTTTGTAAGAATGTAACACGTAAGAATTACTTTTATTGCAGAAATATTTTTGCTATATATATATATATATATATATATATATATATATATATATATATATAAATATGATGTCATGATGTCTTTATTACGTCAGTATTACGAAATCAATATCATTAGTCAATATAAATGAAAGATTTAATTTGATTTAGTCATAAAGAGCATAATCTGGGAATTTCATATCCGATAGTACTTCAGGAGAAAATCGTTTTCTTAGGCGTTGATAAATTAATGCATTTGTACAACGTTCGAAGAACGATTAGTTGAGATAATTTTGGTAATGAATGATTATTTTATATGAAACATTGACACCAGAAGCTTAATACACGTACAATATTTCTCTATCCTCACTGAATGGTAGTCCGAAACTCCAAAAACACTGTAAACCAGTACCCACGACAACATATATGGCGTCGCAAAGGTTAAAGAGAATCAAGCGAAGTTAAACGTTACTCGCTAAGATTAGTTGGATTGATGACCCACTGCAAACCTGACACTGAGCAGTTTCTGAGTCTCGTCTCAAGTCGACATTACTTATATACCTGAGGCTATGCTCGAGAGTTATCATCATTAAACTTGATATCCAACTGAAAACCAATCGTAACAGTTATGCCTTTCAGATCAACTCTGTAAGAAAGAGTGTCACTAGGTGCGTTTGGTCGGAAAGCCTTCCGGTGGCGTTTGATGTCGACATTTACAAGCTATTGTATAACGATAATACATCCTACGCATAGCATTCGCATATACATTGTATCGGATTCAAATGTTTAAGTATTTCATCTTGTTTCACTTCAGGAATTCAAAAGGGGAGCTAATTTGTTTAACCTATTGAAACTCAGTTTATGGAAGCAATATATTCATAGAAAGTGATCGCCTACATGTGACCTTCACCAATTTCTTTTTCATGCCTAATTCAATCGTTATACCAGTGTGTCAGGTTCTCAGCTCATACGTTACATATGCGAGCCAGTTCCGATTCTTAATAATCACACTACGTGAAATAAAACTATTTTGACTGTACTATCTTGACTATATTAAGCGTACAACTTGTTCTAGACAGCAGTATAGGTGACAATACATCATGGATAATGTCCTGAGTGAGACCCAACTGACCTAAACCATCCACTCAGTAGGTTATTTTTAAAACTACAAATTGGCGGCAGAAGCGTGACGTGAAACTTCTCTAAAATCAACTTTCGATTTCAAATGGGTCATAACAAATTCATGTTGCGGTGTCATTGTTGAGTGCATATGTACTCAGTGATGCAGGTCTTAGAGGTGTCACACCTTGGTGACACCCATGAGCACGGGTATTGTGCTAGAGTGAGTATCGTCTTACGTCACTTTTAGAAATATTCCAGCAATATGGGCTTCACCAGAAATGGGCTTCACACATTGTGCCCATGTAGGGAATCGAGCCCGGGTCTTCAGAGTGACGAGCGGACGCTTTAACCATTAGGAAACCGCACCGCCCCGTCTCATCTCATGTCAGACTATGTACTGATAGTTGTGGATTCTCTTCTGCCAGTTCTCTCTCACACATTTGACTGCCGTGACATCATTATAGCTACACTAGCACTTGGCGACCATGGATCAAAGTGCTAGCTAGACGTGAATGGGTTGCAAAGTATAATGAAACGGAAATGAAAGAATTTGGTTCAGTTTCTTGTTAACTCAGTCCTCAATAATTCCCCCAAAGCGCACAGGCCTGCATCACTAGAAATATTTGGTAGTTATGTTATCATATATTATCACGCCTTACGTCATTGTTATATATAACTCCAAAGTGAAGGGTATACGAGTTTGAGTTATGTGTTTATGTAATTTGACATGTTAAGTACTCTAGAAACATACACAATACGATAATATTTAATAGCGGCTATCGAGTTCCCTGCTAACGCACTCCTACTTTAGACAGTGCATGGCCTATTAGCT